AACTTGAGACATCTGTGGCGCCGTCGCGACATCCGGCTGTCTGTGAAGGGTCCAGTGTATCCCGCGACAGTTCGGCCAGTTCTGCTATACAGTGCAGAAACCTGGCCATTAAGAAAACAATATAAAGACAGACTGTCGGTGTTTGAACACCGCTGTCTACTCAGCATTGCACGAATCTGGTGGGGTAGCCGGATGAGCAATGCTGAGGTTAGGGGCAGAGTTTTGGGTAAATACGGTCGCCCACTGGAGCAAGTGGTCGACCTCCATAGATTACGTTGGCTGGGACATGTGTTAAGCATGTCACCAGGTAGGTTACCACGGCGAGCGATGTTCGCCGAAGNCGAGTGGAAAAAAGCCAAGGGTGATCAAGTTAAGACCTGGCACGAGGGTATGAAAACCCTAACCAGGAAACTGGGTCACACAGGTCCTGTTAGGCTCCCTGGCTAGGGACCGCGGGATGATCGTAACCGATGGTTAGAGACATTGAGCGATATGGCTGGGTGTCGTAAACAGTGGCGTTCGTGCATCTCCTCAATTTCTTTCCAACCTTAGTCCACTGAACCTCGCCATTTTCTTTTCGAATCCACTTTCAACTTTCCTTTCTTTCCCTATTCTTCATCCAAATGGGCAGCCAACAGATAGCAACCAAAACCGGCGCACGAAAGTGTATGGTTAATGGTTGTACAAACTGAAACTGAAACCTAAACACTGCTCAACCGGTTTTCCCACTAGACTCGAACAATGCGACTTAATGGCCAACTCTCTAAACCGTATAGTAGCACTGGCTTAACTACTGCAGCATACCCTCGACCCATCACAGAAAACCGGATGTCACAACGGCGCCACTGATATCTCAATTTGGTAAATGCCTACCGAGCCTTCTGTATGCGTCCACTGTGTGAGATGCAGATGCCCAAGTAATAAAACTTATCCATTGCTCTATTACTTCCCCAGTTAGAGTGAGGTTGGGTGCTGGACGAAACCAGTCTTGCAGTAACATCTTACACTTTTAAGGTGCATACCAAGCAGAGATGCACCAGCACTTAAACTATCTAGAAAAGCTTGCAACTTACCTGGGTTTTCACCTAGCTGTACAATGTCGTCTGCATACTCCAGAACAGATAGTCTACTATCTGGGAGAAAATCGATGGTGCCATCCTCGTAGAACAGGACTGTTTCCATAATTGCATCTATGATCCAGATGGCTAGGAAGTGTTACGCATGTCAGCCGATAGGTCTCCGGTACGTGCACAGCATCCGAGGCAAGTAGATGCAGGTAAAACGGCAAGGGTGGACCTGATATGAAAAGCCTGGCTTGAGAACTTAGTCATGCAGAACGAGTTAGGCCTACTGGTTGGGGACCTCACGATTGGTGTATACTCAACGGCTGGAGACTGGGTAATAACTCTAAGTGACGTAAATAAATCCTCCATGCATCTCTCAAATTTCTTTGCAAATTAATCTACGTGAAATCTCGGTTTTCACGTAGTTGTTGTTGTTCATGGATGTCCACTTCTTCCATCTACACGTTCATCACTGTGCGAGTAAATGGATAGCCCTGGAAAAAACAGGAGCGGAAAAAAGAAGCACGAAAGGGTAAGGTTTAAGGTTGTACAAACATACAGTGAACTAGATGGTGAAGCCCTGGATTAGCCCCAATCGGCTTTCCACAGGCGAACGGCACTGTCGATGACGATGTTAGGCGTGGGTGTGGGACACGAAAAGTACGCACTGCTAAAGAGTCCCAAACAGGACGAAACAGCTGTCCAGTGCATTTTGTCGGTTATCACAAACATTTCCATCACATTAAAAGACACGGAACTACTTACTGGTAGGATACAATCGAGTTTCATATACGAACTGGGCAACTCGGCTGCAGAAGAACATTAGCATTATTACCTTAAATGTTCATTCGGTGAACTCCAGTGAATTCTGAGGAAAACCTGTTGTGGCAGTCCACTTACATGCTAACTGGTGGATGTCATATGACTCTGTGAGTCGGATGGGTGATTCGAACGTGAAAAGATCAGTGTAATCGGTGTGGCCTTGTGTCTCAGCTGGTAGAGCGTGCACTTGACAAAAGCGTAGGCGGCGTCCAAGCCTAGGCTCGGATTCCGCCGAGGCTACTGAACTTGTGACAATTTCAGCGTTATTACTGTGCAGCTTGAGATTGCCAGTATATACAATCTGTGATAGCGAAACCTACACATAAAACCCGCTTAGGTCTTTAAAAAAGGAACAGAGTCGAACTAAAAACCAGAAATGGATGTATCACCTGCGCACTACCGAACCTAATAACTGTGAACAGAGAAGTCAGAAACATGGGTTTGCACAATGTATCCATGGTCATTTCGCTGCATCTGTACATGTGCATACTGCAATCCAAGTGATTTTTATAATCAGTAAGATAACAGATTTGAGAAAAAAAAACAAGATCGTTAATCACAACGGACAACGCAACGCAAAAACACAAAAAGGGGGACGAGATAGGGCAGGGGGTCAATCACCAAGGCAAAGCTAATGTGACTAACCATTCGCGTTGTTTGCATAGATCAGGTTTGAGAGTGTAAATGGCTAGGGCCTCGGCAAATTTCAGTAATTTTGTGTTTGTTGTGTTGTAGATGACATGGAATGCGTGGGGTGGGGTGACACAGTGTTTTTGTTCGAGTAAATGTTGCGTTATCGAAGATCTAAGCTTTCTCCGATCAATCGATGACGTAACATTTGCAAAATTGTCCTCCATTGCTTTCTTAAACCACACCGGGATGTGTTCGGCCATTCGGTGACGTAACTGCCTCTCTGTCCTGCTTATATAGACGGCTGAGCATCCACACTTGAATTGGTAAATACAATTTGATTTGGCGCAGGGAGGCAATGGTTCTTTCACCGATGTCGTTGGTATCCGGGTGGTAGTGAAGACAATGACCGGGTCAACTGCGTAATAGACTCGCTTGACAGCAGAGTTCAATAATAATAATAATGTCCTTTACTTCCTTTATTTATTTATTGAATATACAAATGTACATTCAGCATTCAGGAAGGGGGGCCGCGGCCATACAAAGGCTGCCTGGGAAGACGGGCGGCGGTGAAGCGGTTCGAACCCGTGACTCATAGGTCACGAGTTGGTGACCGCTTGCTAACGAGTGCACTCACGTCATTGCCCTTGTATGCTAACATCAAAAACGTTTTCTGTTTCGGGACAGTTGTTGAATTGTCTACTTTTGGTGTTAGTTTACTATGCTTGGTGCTGAAGGTGCCTGGCTATCCGATTGCTTTTAGTACTTCTTTTAGGACACTGTCTTCGTCGCTTAAACAATCCTCTGTGCATATTTCACGAGCTCGATGAAATAGTGTGCGAACGAGCCCAATTTTGTATCTCATAGGGGCGAAGCTCGTGAAATGCAAGTATTGTCCGGACCACGTGTCTTCCAAAAGAACACGCTTTTTAGGTCTTTAAAAGAGGAACAGAGTCGAACTAAAAACCAGAAATGGATGTATCATCTGTGCACTACTGAACCTAATAATTGTGTTGGATCATAATTCCGATCAGACTGTGAGTTTTTCTGGACACGTGAAATAGCTTGTGGCTCCAAAGCATTGTGTGCACCATCATCAACAATCAACCATTTCGAACAAGAAGTAGCCGGACACAATAACCGGAGACACTTACACAGTTCTGCTGTGGCTGCTCCAGCCTTGGATGGTGATCCCTTAGAAGGAGCTGCGTTTCGTGCAGAGTGCGGTTTTCGACGACTTGGCTGTCGTGCGGACGGTCGACGAAACACTTTCGGATTGGGTAACGCGGCCACGGTCTCCGCCAAACGATTGAGAGCTTCGTGCCGAAACATAGGGGTGGGAATAGTAGGTTTCGAAAATGAGAGATAAACAGTGGGGCAGAGAAATGTGCGATGAGCTTCTATCTGGATCACAAGAAATTCGACAGCGGTTTGTCACATTGGAAAAAAACGAATAAGCAATACAAAAGTCAGACTATATGCATGAAATTATTGCATGAGATCTAGCAAAACGAATAAGCCTGGTGCCCAAGGAGAATAAAAGCGCTTCGCGATATGGCTGCAGTATGTTCCTACGATCAACGGGCATTAGAGGACACAAACAATGAACGAAGTGATTTCGATAAAACAATTAGCAATGTAAAATGTTTGCTTTACAACAATGACGCATAGTATACGCAAGGTATGCAGCACGAAAACTCCAATGAATGCGAAACGTAATATGTTTGTGCCGGACATTCTACAGCTAAACCATTTCGGTTTTGAGAATACGTGAAGCAGGAGCCTCCTTTTATTCAATCACATAAAACCATCAATTTTATAAAGCGGCAAACTGTGACCAGAAATATCCCACAACGAACTCCGCAAGATGAAAGAGTTTACCGAAACCAGGAAATGTAAATATGGGATCGATAAACGCGAAACAATTCTGTTCAGCAAGTTTCGCTGCGAAGGAATTTGTGTTGTGCAAACGAGTCGAGGTCTAGAATCCAAGAACGATTGACAATCTAGCGGGGGGGGATATACTAGAATACCACCAGGCAGAAAAACCTCACTATGGTCGGGGGTGGGTGTCTGGGGTTGCGGCTGGTCACCCTTCCCTTTCGCCTTGCGAAATGCTCCGATTTGACCAATCGTCTCAAATAGCCTCTGCTGAGGAAGCCCTACTCACTACCTTCACATGGCGGAGGTATTTGCCCACCAAAGTGAGAGGACGAATGGCAGACATCAGGGGCTATAACCGGGTCAATGGACCACTGGTAGTTCACCTAGGGGAGTTGGCCAAAAACTTTGATGCCAAACCAAGAGGAGGCGCACGAACTACATACACCTTCCCAGTTTTGGTAGTGGTCACCAGCTCGATTGGGTCCCTTGAACGTATGATCCGATGAACTGGACACCGATTAGAGTTCGGTTGAGCAGAAAGGAGAAGAAAACGGTGACCATTCTGTGACAAAGTAACATGATGAGCATCAATGTGGAGTGTACCGAAAGAAAGTAGCTGTGAAAATTGAGACAGAGGTCCAAAAAAGCCACCTCGAACTGAAACTGAGTGACTTCGTTACATGGACTAAGTCACGATCAACTTCAATGGGAAACGTGAACCACTGACCGAACGACAAAAAATAGACAAGAAGTTCGATTTCCAAATCGCATTCGACTCTAGTGACAAGATTTGTTATTCTTAAAATCATCGTAACAGATAGCAACGGATTTCCAGCTATGAAGCATCAAAATTCTAGAGCCTCACTGGATCGAGTGGGAGGTGCAACATATCTTAGCACAACGCACAACCCGTTTTATCGTTGTGCTAATAGAACTTGTGGCAGGTTTGAGCACAGCAATGTAACCCTCGTAGAATAGTACACACTTACCACCCATCACCCACTAAATGTTATCTGAATTTTCTGATCCTCAACACAAGGGTGTTTTTAAATGTCTGCTTCTCATTCGCCCATTTTGTGTAAAAACCTAGCCATGAAGCCGGCAATCAAGCTCATCAGAGTGTTACAGATTCCAATCTGATCATTCCAAAGTTGTATGGGTGTAATGCAGGATTTGATTTGTATATACGATG